GAGCCATCTTTAGTAAGAGTATCATTTTGTTAAATTTAGACTCACGTGCCTAGTGTTTTCCAGGAGACCCTGATCTGATGGTGGCCCAGCATAGCCCTGTTCTCCGCAGGACAGGTTTGGGGTCCCCCACTTCCCGTTTGCAAAGACAGGAGGGGCCCACCCTCGGGGTTCCTAAACAGGAAAGAAGGCACTGTGTCGTTAAGAGGAGAATTCCTTTTATTAGTGAGACCGTGGAGAGTGGGAAGTGCGGCCCGTGAAGACAGACTAACGCAGTGTGAGAGCTCAGGAGCCAGCATCCGGCCAGGGGTCTGGGGAGCAGAAACCAGAGCGGGGCCGCGAGGCATGAAGGGCTGACCCTCGCCTCTGCCTGATACACCCGACTGGATGTTGGCAGTAATAGGGCCTGGCAGAGCCACCAGGCCGCCCTGGAGCTGGCGTGTCTGGGGTCACACAGCAAGTGCCTCAAAGAGCAACACTCCTCTGCCTGGAGTCTAAGAACCAAACTGCTCACGGAGGCAGGAGGCCTTTGCAATCTAAACGCTGAACCCATGGGGTGTGTTTCCTATTGCACGAGCCCCTGGACAGGGAGGAAGGTTGGCCGCAGGAATCCTGCATGTGCACTGAGCACCCGCTGGGCCTTGGAGGGCAGCATTCGGCCCATGCTGCCCCGCTGCTAACAGTAGAGAAGCTGAGTTGCAGACCTGGCAGCGAGCCTGTGCCGACTGGACCGGGCCACCAACCCCAGAAGACAACCGGGTGCCAGAGATCACAGGGACAACCTCGTCCTCCACACATGCCCCCGGTCAGAGACACTCAGCGGCGTCAGTGTCCCCAGACTGTTCACCCCCACCCCGCTCTGTCTGTCTTGCAGTCTTTTCATCTAACCTAGAGCCAAGACTGATAAAAAATATTAAGCTCCAAGGCCAATAATTTTGCTCTTGCCCACAAAAATGTCTTTCTCCTTTGCTCCAGCCACAAAAATATGTGAACAATTCAACTTCCAGTCTGGGGGTGGCTCCCACACAACCAAGCCCCGCCCCCCAGGCCCCAGAACACCTCCCCCACGCCCTGCACACTGCAGGCACCCACACCTGGTCGCCCAGTCTGCAGGGAAAGCATCTCCACCCCTGGCACACAGCGTCTGGACACACCTGGCCCGCCCTGTGCTCTGGTGCCACGCCCCAGTGCGTGTGGGGCACCACCTCTGCCAAAGCCTTTGCCTTGCTGCAGCGGATCCTGACCTGGCTCTGCCCAAGTCTTGATGCCCCACAGGAGCTGGACCGCAGCTCTGATGGGCACCACCTTGGGGCGGGTCTCCTGTTGAATTTATCCCCCCTCATTCCTGATCACAGATGGCAGTGGGTGCTGGAGGCTGGTGGGGTGGGGGTGTCAAGGAGACTGCTAATGGGCGCAGGGCTCCCTTGTGGGGCGATGGAAATATTCTGGAACTAAGTAGTGGTGATGGTGGCACAACCTTTAGTGGCCGAACTAGAACTCACTGAATTGTATGCTTTTAAAGGGTGGATATTATGGTATGTGAATTGTATCTCAATGAAAAAGGGTGGGGCAGGAATGCATGTGAAGCACTTAGAGCAGCTGGGACCAGCACGTGTTCCGTTAACAGGCCCCTTGCCATCACTGTCACCGTAAAGAACCACCTCTGGTTGGGTCTTGAGCAGCCTGTCCTCACCCAGCACTGCTCTGCCTCCCCACTCCCGCCCTGTCCCAAACTTCTGCAGCCCGATTGCCACACCTCTGGGCGTGGGGATGAAAACACAGGTGGCAGGAGCAGAGATGCCCTCTGAATTTTGGGGGAAGAGTTTGGCTGAGCTGTTCTGACCACAGAAGCAGAAGGAAGTCCAGGGGGCATGGCCCTCACTCAATCAGCAGCTTCTTAAGTGGCAATAGTTATCTATGCATATATTTCCCTTTTCCATTTTCTAAAACCTTTAAATCAATGAACCTACATTGCCACATCATTATCACCCAAAATCTGCAGTTTATGTTAAGGTTCACTTTTGGTCTGAACACTCTGTGGGTTTGGGCAAATGTATAATGACACCCATCCACCTTGTGGTGTGATGGGAATGTTACAGTGTCATGCAGAACATTTTCACTCCCCTAATAATCCTTTGTGTTTCACCAATTCATCCCTCCCTCTCCCTTAACCACTGGCAACCACTGATCTTTTTACTGTCTCTGTAGTTTTGCCTTTTCCAGAATGTCATGCAGTTGGAATTACAGAGTACGCAGCCTTTCAGATTACCTAAGGTTCTTTCACTTAGTGATAGGCATTTAAGGTCCCTCCAGGTCGTTACATAGCTTGATAGCTCCTTTCTTTTTAGTACGAATAATATTCCATTGTCCAGATGTGCCACAGTTTATCCACTCACCCACTGAAGGGCATCTTCGTTGCTTCCAAGTTTGGGCAATTGAGAATAAAGCTGCTATTTTAGAAAACTGTGGTACCTACACACAATGGAATACTATGCTGCTGTAAAAAAGAAGGAATTCTTACCATTTGCAGCAGCATGGATGGAACTGGAGAGCATTATGCTAAGTGAAATAAGCCAGTCAGTGAAAGAAAAATACCACATGATCTCACTCATTTATGGATAATAAAGACCATTATAAACTGATGAACAAAAATAGATACAGAGGCAGAGCAGCATTAAACAGACTGTCAAACTACAGCAGGAAGGCTGGGAGGGTGGGGGGGGCGTGGGTAAGAGATCAACCAAAGGACTTGTATGCATGCATATAAGCATAACCAATGGACACAAGTCACTGGGGGGTAGGGGAGGCCGGGGGAAGGTCAAGGGGAAAAAAAGGAGACAAATGTACTGCTCTTTGTAATATTTTAAGCAAAAAAAAGTTAAAAAAAAGAATAAAGCTGCTATAGGCATCCGTGTGCAGGTTCTTCTCTGGACATAATTTTTGACTCCTTTGGGTAAATATTAAGGAGCATGATTGCTGGATCACATGGGAGAGGGTGTTTAGTTTTGTGAGAAGCCACCAGCTGTCTCCTGAAGTGGCTGTAGCATTTTGCATTCCCACCAGCAGCCAACGAGAGTGCCCGAGGCTCCGCATTCGGTGTTGCCAGTGTTCTGGATTTCCGTTATTCCGGTAGGTGTTCAGTGGCCGCCTGTTTTCATTTGCTTTTCCCCGATGACATAGGAGGTGGAGCATTTTTTCATGTGTTGATTTCTCATCTGCATATTTTGTTTGGTGAGGTATCTGTTAGGTTCTTTGGCCCATTTCTTTAGCTGTGTTGCTTGTTTTCTTATTGTTGAGTTTTAAGAGTTCTTTGTGTATTTGGGGTAACAGTCCTTATCAGATACTAGTATGTCCTTTGCACATATTTTCTCCTAGTCTGTGGCTTGTCCTTTCACTTTCTTAATAGTGCTTTTTGCAGAGCAGACGTTTTAACTTTAATGAAGTCCAGCTCATCAGTTCTTTCTTTCATGGATCATGCCTCTGGTGTTGTATCTGAAAAGTTGTCGCCACATCCAAGGTCATCTAGATTTTCTTCTATGTCATCTTCTAGGAGTTTTATGGGTTTTGTGTGTGTTTATTGATACATTGAGGTCTGTGGTCCATTTTGAGTTAATTTTTGTGAGGGGTATAAGGCCTGTGTCGAGATTCATTTTTTTTTTTGCATGTGGATGGATGTCCAGTTGTTGCAGCACCAT